AATCTGAAAACAAGACAACAGTGCATAAGTGTTTGCAATAAAGCTAATAGAATCCTTGGCTTCATACCAAGAAGCATAAATAATAGGAGTCCTCAGGTTGTTCTTCAACTCTATACATCCTTGGTTAGGCCTCATTTAGATTATGCTGCACAGTTTTGGTCACCGTATTACAGAATGGATATAAATTCTCTGGAAAATGTACAAAGGAGGATGACAAAGTTGATCCCATGTATCAGAAACCTTCCCTATGAGGATAGACTAAGGGCCCTGAATCTGCACTCTCTAGAAAGACCGCCAGTCTTCTTGCCTTTTCGGTACTCGACTGAAGAAGCCTACTGTATAGGCGAAACGTTTCGAAATAAAGATACCTAACTGTTGCATGTGTCTTACCTACCAAAGCTAACTTTGTATAGTCGGTACTGTTTTATACATCAAGCTCGTTTAGTTTGGTACAATTAACATGTACGATAACACAAGTTTGCATGATTACAGTTTAAGTAAAAGGACACATGCAAGGCATTACATTACGGCTTGACACAGCTCCTAGGGAGAAACGGGAGAAACGCGACGGGCTGGAGTTTTGAGACTATGACCGCGGGTTCAATCCCGGCCGGGGGTATGGTTCACAATAAAAATGTCGTATGAGTTGTATGTGCCCTTTTACCTAGCATAGTCAGTAATTCTACTACCATTATTACAATGATCAAAATTGTCTTACATAGTAACAAATGTGTAAATTAATTACAACAATTAAAAAAGTGACATTTCCATCAAGGTAATTATCGATTTAGTAACTCTTTCCTTGATAAATGGAATAGTGATACCAACAAAGTGAAAAAAAAAACAGTTATGTACAGTTCAGGACATTTATTAAAAACGTTACTTTAATAAATGGCCTGAAATGTACATAACTGTCTTTTTCCACAACTCTTTCCTTCACTAAAAAATGGACAGTCATGTATATTATAACAAAATCCCGCCAGGGAAAATACCTTGAACTACATTAAATGCTTTGAAAAAAAAAAACCATACCACGGGTGGGATTTGAACCCGCGGGTTCAACTCCCACCCGTGGTATGGTTTGTTTGCAATCGTGTCATTACGATTTCGTGAGTCAAGTTAAATGTTCTGAATATCAAGGGGCTTCCTATAAAGTAGAAACATGTGAAACAAACATACATGTTAATCACCCAAATTGTATAAAATACTGTATTCCACTTTGAAGATTGAGACACTTTTTCAACATATGGGAATCTTGACTGAAGAAACGTTTCGCCGCACAGTGACTTCATCAGTCCAATACAAATTAGAGAGTTGTGATGAATGGTTTGAAAAACCGACAAGTTGAAGATTGAGACACTTATGCAACATATGGGAATCTTTATTCAGGAAACGTTTCGCCACACAGTGGCTTCATCAATCCAATACAAAGTAGAAAGGCGTAAGGAGAGTTTCTACTTTGTATTCGACTGATGAAGCCACTGTGTGGCGAAACGTTTCCTGAATAAAGATTCCCATATGTTGCATAAGTGTCCCAATCTTCAACAAATTAGAAAGGTGTTTGATGGACTCCAGGCTGAGGGACTGATTACCTCAAACTCCTCCTCTCCTTACACCCTTCTAATTTGTATTGGACTGATGAAGCCACTGTCAGCATAGTTGCTGAATCCCCTTACATGTGTTGTATAGATTAACTGAGTATTATAGTACCATCCATGTGCTTTATATAGAAGATCCCTAGGCCTGTGACTGTATGACGTCACGGGATACAACACGAGTGAGTGAGACGCACTGCCTCGCTCTCACTCCGCGTTTAGACATACGAAGGCAAGCAGGCAGGCCTGGGCTCCGATGCATAGTCTGACAATATATATCGTTACCATCCAACAAGTGAGTTTACCTTATCCATCATATCTCCTTCCGAACCCCCACGACAACTGTGGCGAAACGTTTCTTCAATAAAGATTCCCATATGTTGCAAAAGTGTCTCAATCTTCAACTTGTCGGTTTTAAACCATTTATCACATGTATTCCACTTTGTAGAAACAGTTTGTTTTTAGGGTCATAGCAGCTAAATCCTTGAGGAGCTTTACAGACAGACAAATATGAGTGAGAATAACAAAAAAAAGGTACAATACCGTGACTGGAACGATACACAATAACCCGCACATAGAAGATAGCTTACGACGACGTTTCGGTCTGACTTGGACCATTTACAGTCACACTAACGTAAAGGAGAGGAGGGGTATATAGGCAGGTGGTAGTAGTAGTAGAGGTAGAAGGAAGTAGTAGTGGGGAAGGTAGTAAGGAGGAGAAGCCAGCCAAAAACTTAGAAAGAGGAGCACTGCAAAGGAGCTAGGTGCCCACAGAGGGTAAGAGCAAGAACACAGAGGGAGGAGGGGAATAAATAAATAAATAAAGAAGGAACAAATACACAAGGCAGAAGAAAGACAACCCAAAGGAGAAAAAAATAAAGAGGAAAGGGAAAGAGGAAGAAGAAAAATGAGGAATCAGGCTAAGTCACGGGTGTTCTGATGTTTGGAGCATTTTACAATGTAATGGGACAGGAAGGCATCTACAGAGACGAAGCCACGACTAAGATTCATACAAGGAAAGTTGTGTATTAGAGAGGATTCAACCAGACGGTGATTGTTAAAGTTGGAAGTAGGGAAGACAGTTTTAGCATAAGACCAGTCAATAGGATGGCTGTGATCTCTGACGTGACAGTAAAAAGCACCGAGTGAGAAAGGTTGGATTTAATTATGACCCGCCTGTCATGAGGAATTGAAGCTAACTTCAATGGCCTGCCTAGTATGAGTCATAGGCCTGCTGCATTAGGCTTTCCCTTAGCTCGATCGCTAGCGCACTCAGCTCACACATTGAGGTCCGGAGTTTGAATCTCCTCCGGTACGGCTGGAAAACATTAGGGACGTGTTTCCATAAGACACCTGCTGTCCCCGTCCCTGTTCACCCATCAGTTTAAAATGGGTACCTGGGTGTTAGTGGACTGGTGTGGGTCGCATCCTGGGTAAAAACTGACCTAATTTGCCCGAAATGCTCAGTATAACAAGAGGCTTTCTATATAGTAGTATGTCATTGATGTCAGCTAGGCCTGTATACCATGTACATGTACTTGTAGCAAATAAAGATATTATTATATTATTATTCTCGTTCTTCGCCTATAGGAACATGTTAAATATTAGAAATGGTTCAGAGAACCGAGAAGTTGATAAATTACACACATGTGTACCATTCTTTATTTTGGAGCGATGAGGCCAGTGTAAGTGAACCTTATCCATAGTAAAGATACCCAAGTGAAATTGAGACATGTGCAATATCTGGGTATCTTTATTGTAGACGTTTCGCCATCCAGTGGCTTTATCAATACAAATCGTATTGATAAATTGTACAACCTGTCAGACACTGCAACATCATGGAATCTTGATTCTGAAGACATGTACATAACCTTCACGACAACGACAACTACTACAACTAACCCATCTCTTTGGATAGGACCTACTTCCACTGGGGAATCCCGCCTTCCAGTGACTAGGCCCTCGTCTGCTACCCGTCCCATTTCCACCTGACGTTAGGTGCCGTGCTTCTGTTTCAGAATCTCCACGACTACGGTGCTCTTTGCACCTACTGCTAGGTTGAGGGACTGATTACCTCATCTTCTGTACATAGTTCTCCTGTCTTCAAGTTATGTCCTGGAATTTGTATTGATAAAGCCACTGGATGGCGAAACGTCTACAATAAAGATACACAGATGTTGCATATGTGTCTCAATTTCATCTTGTCGGTATTGTATACCATTCTTGTACAAAGATACCCAAGTGTTGCACATGTCTAATTTATCAACGTTGCATATTCCGTGACTGAGCGGAATATGCAAGGTGACTTAGGAACGTCGGTGTCATCACTGGTACTGAAAGTGATCTCCGGTAAGTAAGTTTATTCAGGTAAACGCAAATACAGTTAGATACATTATCATACATAGCAGTATATGTGTAGAGAACTCAGGATAGCTAAAAGAAGTTAGACAAAGTGACTTATTTCCATCGGGGTCCTTATTATTGGGGTCGGGTATTAGTTAGTCTTTCTAGTGAATAGCGAGAAAGCTAACTTTGCATAGTTAGTATTGATACATTAAACTGGTTTATTTCGGTACAATTACACAAGTCTAACAATTGCACTGGTCTAACATAGTAACAAATATGTAAATTACCTATAATAACTAAAAGAAAAGGGTGACATTTCCATCGGGATAATTCCCAATTAAATAGCTCTTTCCTTCACTAAATATGGTCAGTCACGTTTATTATAGGTAAAATCCCGCCGAGGAAAATACGAAGAGCAATATCTATAATGTAAATCCCGCAAGACTAACAGTTCTTCCTGGTCACTAGTGATGCCTGATCCGTTACTTGTACGACATTACATTCTCACTCCCTCCAACACTTACCATAAAACATACATCCCCAGTGAATTTAGGTAGCAGAATAGACTTTCTTAGGTTCACTTTCAAAAGTAATGAAGGCAACACTACACCACCAGTGAAATACATGGGCACCAATGGAAATAAGTCACTTTGACTTATTTCATACATATGCTTTTATGTATCATCATTTATATAACTGTAAAGTGAAAGGACACAAGTGCAACTAATGTGACATTTTATTGTGGCAACGTTTCGCTCTCCAGGAGCTTTATCAAGCTTGATAAAGCTCCTGGAGAGCGAAATGTTGCCACAATAAAATGTCACATTAGTTGCACTTGTGTCCTTTCACTTTACATATTGTCGGTAATTCTACCAACTTTATTACAATTTATAAACTATATTTGTGTATCTGTACCTGAATAAAATTATTTAACAATAACAAGATATTGTTGTCACTCCAACATGAGAGGTCGCAGTTAAACTCAGTAAAAACTTACTACTATGCGGATTTCCCGTTAAACAAACAATTTCCCTCAACAGAAAGGTAAATTTAACTTACCACAGTCTGTGAACCGAGGTTTGCCATATGCGAGAGCAGAGAGAGCGAGGAGGATGAGGAGCGTGACCTTCATCGCGTGAGGTTTAGTGACGCACTGAGACTCGTACCTTCACTTGACATACAACATCAGCAGCTGACGCCTCGCCCGGCCGCACCTCACGTTGCCACATACACCAATTTATTATACACTATATATGTGTGTGTAGTCTTATAGGCTATAATATATGCGTTTATACTAAAAAACTTATATAACTCACACTAAATTTGTATGAGAATGGTAGAGGTTGAGGATGTGTCTAGCATAGGCCAGTAGACCTACCCCCAGTCATCCTGTGTTTCCATGACAGTTAAAAACACCCTTTTGTCCCCTGCATATTAGGATTAAAATTCTATAGTGAGGTTAGATACCCTGATACTCAGCATTCAAGTACCAACGAAACTTTTTTTTGAAACTTTTTTCATTATAGAACACACACAATAGTCCTAGTATAGTGTTCTTTTTTTTAAACTTGATGAGCGAATTAATCAAAATTCATTAAGTTTCATCATGGTTAATAAGGCATTACTAAAACTACAGCCACAATTACTAATACTACCATCATGCCCAATACAGCCTAGGGAAAAACCTCCCACGGCACATAACTACGACAAACATTAAGAAGCACAGCGGAAGGCCTACTGATCCATGCGAGGCCTACTGATCCATGCGAGGCCTACTGACCCATGCGAAGCCTACTGATCCATACGAAGCCTACTGATCCATGCATAAATAATAGGAGTCCTCAGGTTGTTCTTCAACTCTATACATCCTTGGTTAGGCCTCATTTAGATTATGCTGCACAGTTTTGGTCACCGTATTACAGGATGGATATAAATTCTCTGGAAAATGTACAAAGGAGGATGACAAAGTTGATCCCATGTATCAGAAACCTTCCCTATGAGGATAGACTGAGGGCCCTGAAACTGCACTCTCTAGAAAGACGTAGAATTAGGGGGGATATGATTGAGGTGTATAAATGGAAGACAGGAATAAATAAAGGGGATGTAAATAGTGTGCTGAAAATATCTAGCCTAGACAAGACTCGCAGCAATGGTTTTAAGTTGGAAAAATCAGATTCAGGAAGGATATAGGAAAGTACTGGTTTGGTAATAGAGTTGTGGTGAGTGAACAAACTCCCGAGTACAGTTACAGAGGCCACAACGTTGTGTAGCTTTAAAAATAGGTTGGATAAATACATGAGTGGATGTGGGTGGGTGTGAGTTGGACCTGATAGCTTGTGCTACCAGGTCGGTTGCCGTGTTCCTCCCTTAAGTCAATGTGACCTGACCTGACTAGGTTGGGTGCATTGGCTTAAGCCGGTAGGAGACTTAGACCTGCCTCGCATGGGCCAGTAGGCCTTCTGCAGTGTTCCTTCGTTATGTTCTTATGTTCTTATGCGAGGCCTACTGATCCATGCGAAGCCTACTGATCCATGCGAGGCCTACTGACCCATGCTAAGCCTACTGATCCATACGAAGCCTACTGGCCCATACGAAACCTACTGATCCATGCGAGGCCTACTGATCCATGCGAATATATCATAAATTAATCAAAGAAGCCTAAGCCACAAAGGCTTTCTGATCCATGCGAAGCCTACTGATCCATACGAAGCCTACTGATCCATGGGGCCTATGATCATGCGAAACCTATGATCCATCGAAGCTACTGACCATTCAAGCCTACTGACCCCTGCGATTATTTCCATGGAAATACGACCCTCGAACCTAATCCGGAGGTTTGCCAGGGCACCACACTGACCCATTAAAGTCCTCTGACCAGCGATTTATTTTGGGGTTAAAACCTTGGCTAATCCGGAGTTAAAATCCACACTTTTTTTTTACCAAAACCAGTGCTTTTGATAAGAGGCCTGATAAGGACCGCCGTGTATGGGCCAGTAGGACTTCTTATGTTCTTATCCCTAAACCCCTTTTTTTCTAAAATGAACCCATTCCTGGAGTCCTGTATTTGTTAGATACTTTCATCATGTTATTTATATTATGTGTGAGAGAAATGGTTTTGAAAACCGACAAGTTGAAGATTGAGACACTTACGCAACATGTGGGAATCTTTTATTGAAGAAACGTTTTGCCACACAGTGGCAAAAGTTTTGCCCGCTGCGTGGGCGAAACGTTGTCAGTAAGGATCGCAGCAATGGTTTCAAGTTGGAAAAATTCAGATTCAGGAAGGATATAGGTAAGTGCTAGTTTGGTAATAGAGTTGTGGATGAGTGGAGCAAACTCCCGAGTACCGTCATAGAAGCTAAGACTTTGTGTAATTTTAAAAATAGATTAGATAAATACATGAGTGGGTGTGAGTTGGACCTGACTTGCTTGTGCTACTAGGTCTGATGTTGTGCTCTTTCCTTAAGGAGATGTATGAATAATGTTCTCTAAGACCGGAGTCCTGGTTCCTTAAGATGTGATCTGCCCTGCTTGGGCCGGTGGTTGACTTGGACCGGCCTCGCTTGGGCCAGTAGGCCTGCTGCAGTGTTCCTTCTTTCATATGTTCTTATATTGCTTGTCTTTATATTTCCATTGTGTCGGTATTTTATACCATTTATTTCCTTCACCATGTTATTTATATTCCTTTATTTATTCTGGTCTTTCATTTGTATACTTCAGTAGTTTCAAATTTAGGTTGGATAAATACATGAGCGAGAGGGGTTGGATTTGAGTGGGATTTGCACATGAGTAAATAGATTTGATAAATGGTAAATAGACTAATCAAAGTTTATTGCTTGGGTAGCGTTGAAGGTGGGTTAGGAAAATATTCTATTACTGGGATGGATTTGTGAATGACCTGCCTAATATGGGCCAACAGGCCTGCTGCAGTGTTCCTCTTTTCTTATGTATATGAATGGTTCAGAGAACCGAGAAGTTTATAAATTAGACACATGTGCAACACTTCAAGCTGTCTTCAAGCTATGTCCTAGAATTTGTATTGATAAAGCCAATGGATGGCGAAACGTCTACAATAAAGATACCCAGCACTTGTGTCATAATTTCATCACACGTGCAACACTTGGGTATCTTTAGTGACGAAACGTTTCGCCACACAGGGACTGATTACCTCAAACTCATCCTGTTCAACCTGCCTCGCATGGGCCAGTAGGCCTGCTGCAGTGTTCCTTCTTTGTAATAAAGTTGGTAGAATTACCGACAATATGTCAACATTGGAAATAAATGGTATAAAATACCGACACAATGGCAATATAAACACAAATGCAGTATAATGTGATCCTTTATTGACTACGTTTCGCCCACACAGTGGGCTTTTTCAAGTCACAAACAGAACTAGTTTGTTTGTGACTTGAAAAAGCCCACTGTGTGGGCGAAACGTAGTCAATAAAGGATCACATTATACTGCATTTGTGTTTATGAAGGTATAAAATACCGACAGGTTGTTAGGTAAGACACATATGCAACAGTTAGGTATCTTTATTATGAAACGTTTCGCCTACACAGTAGGCTTCTTCAGTCAAGTACAGAAAAGTTGATAGAAGCAGAAGATACTTGAAGACGATGTAATCAGTCCATCACCCTTAAAGTTTTGAGGTGGTTAGTCCCTCAGTCTGGAGAAGAGCATTGTTCCATAGTATGAAACAATATGGAGAAGTGACAGGATGGAGCTTTTATAGCGCCAGGAGGTGAGACGTAGGCCACTGGGAGAGGTAAGAACTCAGATGTTGAAAGGTTAGGTCCCTCTCAAACCCAGCCCCTCTCACTAGTGGAAGTTGTCGAAGTTGATTGCAGGTCTGTACCAAGATACCCTTGTGTTGCAGTGTCTGACAGATTGAACATTAAAATGGTATAAAATACCGACAGGTTGTTAGGTAAGACACATATGCAACAGTTAGGTATCTTTATTATGAAACGTTTCGCCTACACAGTAGGCTTCTTCAGTCAAGTACAGAAAAGTTGATAGAAGCAGAAGATACTTGAAGACGATGTAATCAGTCCATCACCCTTAAAGTTTTGAGGTGGTTAGTCCCTCAGTCTGGAGAAGAGCATTGTTCCATAGTATGAAACAATATGGAGAAGAAGTGACAGGATGGAGCTTTTATAGCGCCAGGAGGTGAGACGTAGGCCACTGGGAGAGGTAAGAACTCAGATGTTGAAAGGTTAGGTCCCTCTCAAACCCAGCCCCTCTCACTAGTGGAAGTTGTCGAAGTTGATTGCAGGTCTGTACCAAGATACCCTTGTGTTGCAGTGTCTGACAGATTGAACATTAAAATGGTATAAAATACCGACAGGTTGTTAGGTAAGACACATATGCAACAGTTAGGTATCTTTATTATGAAACGTTTCGCCTACACAGTAGGCTTTTCTGTACTTGACTGAAGAAGCCTACTGTGTAGGCGAAACGTTTCATAATAAAGATACCTAACTGTTGCATATGTGTCTTACCTAACAACCTGTCGGTATTTTATACCATTTTAATGTTCAATCTGTCAGACACTGCAACACAAGGGTATCTTGGTACAGACCTGCAATCAACTTCGACAACTTCCACTAGTGAGAGGGGCTGGGTTTGAGAGGGACCTAACCTTCAACATCTGAGTTCTTACCTCTCCCAGTGGCCTACGTCTCACCTCCTGGCGCTATAAAAAGCTCCATCCTGTCACTTCTTCTCCATATTGTTTAAATACTATTGGAACAATGCTCTTCTCCAGACTGAGGGACTAACCACCTCAAAACTTTAAGGGTTTGATGGACTGATTACATCGCCCTTCAAGTATCTTCTGCTTCTATCAACTTTTCTGTACTTGACTGAAGAAGCCTACTGTGTAGGCGAAACGTTTCATAATAAAGATACCTAACTGTTGCATATGTGTCTTACCTAACAACCTGTCGGTATTTTATACCATTTTAATGTTCAATCTGTCAGACACGCAAACACAAGGGTATTTTGGTTTACAGCCCTGCAATCAACTTCGACAACTTCCACTAGTGAGAGGGGCGGGGTTTGAGAGGGACCTAACCTTCAACATCTGAGTTCTTACCTCTCCCATGGCCTACGTCTCACCTCCTGGCGCTATAAAAGCTCCATCCTGTCACTTCTTCTCCATATTGTTTCATACTATGGAACAATGCTCTTCTCCAGACTGAGGGACTA